TATTTCTAGGACTACCTTGCAAAAGGAGGTAGCTGTGGAACCTTTCACCTAGAAATTCCTCTCCCTTATGTCCTACCAAAAACAGAGAATTTCAGCCTCTGATCCTTCATCATGGACTTAGCTCAGGTGTCTGGTTCCTTTTGCCATGGACACACTCTTCTCCATGGTGTCCCTTTGGTGCATGACCTGGAAGCTGAGTCTACAGTGAGATTTTCTGTGGTTAGGTGTCATAGTTAGGTAGCTGCAGGCCATGTGCTTCTTGTTGCTCTGTTCGGAGGCTTAGCGGTATCCATGCTCTGGATGATAGGTTTTCATGTGCCTTCCAGGTCACCCTCACTACACCTGTGGAGAATTCATTCCTCAGAGAGGTCAGTATGGCCTTGTTGAGCTGGAGCTCCTCAGAGGAGGGTGGGAACAGAGTGAACAAGGAGGCAGCCTTGGGCTGATCTGGGGAATAGAAGAAATATGGAGGTCAGAGGTCTGGAATGTGTCATGCGTTTCTGACCTCAGGCTTTAAGTGATGTTCAGGCCTAAGATCCAGGGCAGGGAATTTTTTTCCATGCCCCTCCTGGACTGAGGTTAAGACTTGAGTGGCAAAGGACACTCACCGATGGAACACTCCCAAGAGCCTGACTTTAGGGGAGTCCCACCCTTCGTTGAGCTCAGCCTTTGGTATGATTCATTTGCTTTCATTACTATCGCTCCATCGTTCTCCTCAATGCTGAGTGTACATGCCCTGTTACCTCATCTTTCCTCCAGGGCTCTGTAATATGGCCATCTCCTGCCAGGTTCTGCCCTCTAGATCTTCATTTCATCTCTATCTGTATTTACTACTTCCATACTCTTTGCCCTCTCCAGAGTTATTTCTTGCCAAGAAATTTTCCCACACCCTATTGCCAGACCCCCTCTGCTGCATTATGGGGTGAGGTTGTCAAGCCCTGGGCTTGGATTCCAGGGAGTTAGGTAGATTAAGTGCTCCATTGGACTAGGGCTGATCCTGAACTGGAATCTTCTAAGGATTCTCACGTCATCTGAAGGTCTTTCGGGGGATTTAATATCTTAACACATCTTCCTGTCTGACAGATACCTGACATTAGTTCCTGTCAAGACTTCTTTCCCAAACATCTGCTCTGGGGTCCCTACTCCATATGTAGGATGTGGGGTACCCGTGTTTGGATCTATAAGTACTGTGCACCATTGTAAACAAGTCATCCTGGCTGAGGGAGGTAGAGGAAAACCAGCAGTAGGTCTATCTTCTCATAGGAAATATTTCCTCTCTCCTCCTTACCTTATCATTTGCACTTCTTTCATGTATCAAAGGCATTCACATAACTGGGACCACGGAGAACTGACCCCCGAATGCTGACCACGTTCCTGAAGACCCAGACCAAGTCCCCTATTCCCACGGACTCTGAAACCAGATACCTTGGCAGAATAGGAAGCGGTCACCTCAGAGTCCAGAGTGAAGGGACCCCTTGATAAGATTCCTGGAGTCAGAATGAGGCCCCTGCAGAAAACAGAAAGTGGTCATTGGATTTGTCTGATTCTGGCCAGGCAGATGCCTGAGAGTAGGGAAAAGTTGAAGAGGTGAATGACCAGATGAGGACATGAACCTTACAGACAGTAATGACAGTTTAAAACTTCATCCCATGATAGGATAGGAGGATGATAAAATCTACCCAAATCACCCTGGTCCCAAAGGGGAGAGAAAGAGGGAGACTTATGGAGGACAGTCAGCTGGGCTCTTCCACCAAAGACAGCACAAAGTGACACACACACACACACACACACACGAACTGTTTTTATACCATTTACCAGGCTCACATGAAAGTGAAACAGTCTGAGACCTGCTTTCATGCAAGCTGCTCAGGCCTTGGGTCATGCTTCTTTACTGTCCATTCTGAGTCATGGATGAGACTGGGAGAGTGTGTCTTTGTGGAAGCAGTGTTCCCAGATATTGGCATTGCCCTGCTCAGAGGGATTTTCCTGGTTCAGCTGGTGTTCACATGTCGAGGAACAGGACACGGTGAATCAGGAAGAAAAGAGAAGGGTCAAGAAAAGAGTAGACTGGGTGCAGGGAACAAAAAGCCAGAAGGGGCAAGAGGAGTTCAGTTCGCCATGGAGCTCTTTGGAAAAACACAAGAGAAGCTGCCTAAAGAGCTGGTCAATGAATGGTCACTGAAGATAAGAAAGGATATGAGAGTTGTTGACAGGCAGATAAGAGATATCCAAAGAGGAGAAGAGAAAGTGAAACGACCTGTGAAGGATGCTGCCAAGAAGGGCCAGAAGGATGTCTGTGTGGTCCTGGCCAAGGAGATGATCAGGTCAAGGAAGGCTGTGAGCAAGTTGTATGCATCCAAAGCACACATGAATTCCATGCTCATGGGGATGAAGAACCAGCTGGCTCCTTACAGAAAAGCACAGAGGTGATGAAAGCCAAGCAAGAGTCTCATGAAGATCCCAGAAATCCAGGCCACCATGCGGGAGTAGTCCAAAGAGATGATGAAGGCTGGGATCATAGAAGAGATGTTAGAGGACACTTTCAAAAGCATGGATGATCAAGAAGAAATGGAAGAAGAAGCAGAAATGGAAATTGACAAAATCTTGTTTGAAATTATAGCAGGGGCCTTGGGCAAAGCACCCAGTAAAGTGACAGACGCCCTTCCTGAGACTGAACCTGTAGGAGCAATGGCTGCTTCAGAAGATGAAGAGGAAGAAGAGGCCCTGGAGGCCAGGCAGTCCCGGCTGGCCACACTCCGCAGCTAGGGCTGCATAGCTCGGCCTGCAGGCTCTTCCCCATGGTCCTCTGGCCGGGTGTACACACACCTCTGAAGAGCCGCCATTTCATTTATCTCTCGCACTACACCTCTGTCGTGAGGCACTGCATTTGGAGAGGGTTCTGTGCTAGCATCTCTTCATTCTCTGCAGAGGTTTTGGGATCTCCAGGGGATTGTTCTTTAAAAGTGGTGTTATTAAATGCATCATTTCCAGGAATATAAACAGCAGAAGTATCTTACTTGGGGTGGGGGTCAAAGAAATCCATTTCTCATAAAGCTATTCTTAAAGTTGATTGCCTGAATATTAAGGACTCTACTTTTTTTGTGTGTAAAACACTATAAAAGTGAACTTTAATAAATTTCTGCTTAAGTCTTAAAAAGAAAAGAAAAGAAAAAGAGTAGAAAGATATATAGGAGAAAAAGGAGGAAGAAAGGTCTTTTCCCAAGACAGAGATGATGGTGGGGCTGGGACCTATGTGTACAGCTAGGACTTGTGAGGAGTGCCCTGGACGCTCCCATTTCAGCACAGGATTGGTAGCAGGGGAAAATTTGGGGATGGGACTGGGGGCATGGATGGAGAATCATGTTCCCAAGCAATGACCCAAATGGTGCAGGGAGTTACTGAGCCCCAGAAGCCAGTGTTGGTTGGGATGTCCTGAAAGTGCAGTGTGTGATCATTGTTCAAATTGCTTCCGGAGGTGGTAGGGCAGCTGCCTTCTTCATGGTGTGATGCTGCTTCTGAGCTAGGATAGTCTGAAGGGAGCTCCTGGAGGCTAGGTAGTAGGTTATGCTCATTTGCAGTGAGACTTTATTCCATGAGCTCTAAATGTGGCAGTCTCTGCTATCCCCTTGGCCTTCTCTGGCTTATATGCTTACATCTGTGCGCAGCTGTGTGCATGTGAAACAGCTAATCTGTACTCATGATTTTCACCTGCTTTGAGTACACCTGCAGCCTGGGTTCACATGGTATCCTACACTGGACTAACATACTCAGAGCTGTATGTAGACACCAGAGCCTTGATACATTTACTTATCCTGACCAATTACTTGCAGAGCTAACACCTGGACACACTTCTGACAGCCTGCACTTCCTGATAGTGTCCTCCTCATCAAGACCCATCCTAGTCCCCTGAAATCTGCCTGCTCCTTTCTGGGCAGTCTCCTTCCAAAACCTCCTCTTGTCCCCCTGTATCACTTGGCCAGGACAAGAATTACTGTACCCCATGTCAATAGCTTGAACTGAAAACTTACAGCTCCTGTTTTTTGACCTTTCCAAGAGATGCTTATCACAGCAAGGTTGTTGTTGCATGAGTATCTAGTGTGTGTGATTTGTGTGAAGGTATGTGATTCTTTATGGATATATGTGTACATGTATGTATATGCATACATCAGTGTGTGTGTTTGTGTAATAGCTCAGTCCCAAAGCATGTTAAGAAAATGAGTTGGGTGTTGGGAGCATAGTTCAACGGGTAGAACACTTGTCTAGCAAGTGTGAGGTCCTGAGTTCAAACCCAAATAACACCAAAAAATTGAAACAAAAATAAGGTAAGTTGGCCTGTACACAAGCCCATGGCAGAATCCCAGAATTATGCTCCTGACTTTGAACTCAACAGTCTTATTGACAACCAAAAGACACCTAGACATTGGGGCACTTGTGGTGGGTCAGTTTAGATCAGAACTAATTCCTGTCTCCCAGGGGCTTAAGCATATTTGGGAAAGAGGGCTATGTGGAGACCAGGGCACCAAGAGAGGAACTGGGATTCGTGGTCAGTTTCTAGTTGGTGAGCATCCTGTGAGAAGTACTTCAGAGAGGTGCTCCATGAGCCATGTGTATGAGCCTGAGGAATCAGAAGCAGAGTATACCTGGAAGAAAGAGAGGGATTTCTAAGGTGCTAGGACAGAGATTTAAAGGTGGAGTAAGAGAGACTGAGAAGGCATGGCCTAGTGTATGATTGCTCCTTCAGGAAGAATACTAGTCGTTAAAGCTGAAGACTCCAGGGAGGGAACACTATGTTCTATAAACCAGAGGATCCAAAGAGAGGTTGAGCCTAGCATGGTGGTGTACCAAATTGCATTTGGGAGACAGAGGCAGGAGGATCATAAATTAGAACCTAGTCTGGGCAACATAGTGGGTTCCAGGCCAGGCTTGGCTACATAGCAAGACACTGTCACAAAGAGAAAACCGACAGCAGACCAACAAAACCCACAAAACTTAACAATGCCAACAACAGCCCCTTGCCTGCCCCCCCAAAAAAACAAAGCAACAAAGAAACATGAATCATAGAGATCGACTCTGGGAAGGCAAATGTGTACAAGTCCACACTACAGAAGGAAGCACAGAGGAAAGGTGGGTAAATTCCTTCAGGCTGGGTTCTTGCTTAGGACCATTCCCTTCTGAAATATTCTGTGAGGTAAGGGCAAGAAAGAAGAATCTCTAAGGAAAGCATCAGGAGTCTTTTCCTGGCTCCTTTTTCTTAAGGTGAATTGATGGTGATTACGTTTGGAGATTTTCAAATTTAGGATGGGAAATGAATAAACAAAATGAGCAAAGACCATGTTTTCTGATTGAAAAAGAAGGTATTTATTCAGATTTATAAGGTTGAGAAAAGGCTCAGAGTGCCATGGTAGAGGGTGAGACCCTTTCCCTGGGGTCCTTCTGCTTCAGGCTCCTGAGGGTGTGGTGATGTTTGAGAACCTAAGAACACTCTGTAGGGACACACTCTGTTTCATGGTGTTCCCTTTGTTAAAGTGTAATAAGACTCCCTCTGATAAGACATTAAAGACAGATAGCTACTGGTCATGTACTTGTTGCTTTGTTTGGATGCCTGTGCTCCCTCCATTCCCTGGGTTACACTCTTGCCATTTGCCTTCCAGATTACTGCACTAGTACCTGGGTAGAATTTATCAGACAGACCAGTGTGGACTTCTTGGTGTGGAGCTCCTCAGAGGAGGGTGAGGACAAGCTGATAGAGTGGGGAGTCTTGGACTGACCTGCAAGGTAGTCCAAGTGAAGGGTGGCCAAAGGCCAGTCGTCTCTGTGAGAGCCCTTGGTGTCAGTGGATGAAGAATGACTCCTGTTTACAGAATTTGGGGTGAGCATTCATGATGCAGAGTGTAGGATGGGGAACTCTTCCAAGTACTCACCATGTTCGTAGTATTTATGCACCGGGACACTTGCTCTCCTAGGACCTCCCGGGGCCCTGGCCACCCACAGACACCTGACCTTCACCTTCCTGTCCCAGTCTCTTTCTGCCTTCTGTTCATGTCTGTCTCTCCTGTGAGTTCTCTATTAATCCTATGGAACTCCACTCAGGGCACAGTTAGGACATGCTTCCTCTTCTCTGGTGAGAGCTGTTATTAATCTAAAGTGTCTGTTTTCCCCTGAATCTGTGTTCCCTGGGTTCCATGCAGTGAGACTCTTTTCACTACAGGATCTATCTGCCTGACCTGGGCTTTCTTTTTCTATAGTCAGTTTAGTGTCCTCTGACTAAATGCCAGATCTATAGGCTTTCTACATTGAAATTTGCTCCTTTTTAAATCCAGAGACTCTTGCTTCTGAGAGCAATAAAGGAAGGGAAGGATTCATTCACCTAGGACAATTAGAGCTTGGTCCCTCTGCTGAACACCAAACACTATGACACAGACTAGTACAAAAACCCTTCCCTGCCTTGGTCCTCTCCCCTGACCCCCAGCTGTAGCTGTGCTGGAAGCAGCTCTGATGCTTACATGGCGGACATAAGGACGTAGTGACAAAGGTTACTAACATATGTCTCCTTTCTCTGAAGTAGCCACCTGTCCTGAGGAATGGCCTTGCAAAAAAATTTACCTGCATCTTTTCATCTGCTCTGTGGAAGAAGCGCTTTTTAGGAAAAGGAGGAGCAGAGAGAAGACCCCAGTGGCAGTACAGTTAATTCCTGGGATGCATTGGTCTGGGAACATCCCAGGACTAGCAGGTCAGCTTCTGAAGCTCCTGCCTAGGAAAGAACAAGGAGAGTGATTTAGGAACTCTGCAAGATGACAGCTAGCTGGCTGTGAACACACAACAATCACAATTTGTACCTTAAGGTCATCCTCCTACAAATAAATGAGCAAGAACCACAAATAACAACAGGATCATAAAATGACGAAGTAATTAAACTCATATATTTGAGAGGGATTTGCTGAGGCCCTAATTATCTTTAATGTTAAGGTATTGTCTTTATTTTCTGTTTTGGTATGGTAATCATCTTGTAGTTACCGCCTCATCTTTTTAGGTCTGAAGAGGAATATTTACAAATAAAATATCAGATGTCTAGAACTTACTTGAGGAAGGAGTTATTTTGTTTTGAGTGGATTGAAATCACCCAAAAATGTCTTATTTTGATTACTGGTTGATGGGCCATGGAGTCATTTTTATTCCTCTGTCTCATTTTGTGTTGAAAATCTCCAGTATAAAACATAACAAAATGGAGAGGAGCCTATTCTTAGGGCAGCAACTAGTGATGGGATGGACTCTAGAACTCTATCCACCTAGGCCATTGATATACACCTGTGTGATCTCAGCTACACATCCACGAAATGGCATTGGACAGGGGACATTAGAATTTCTGAGGTGCCTTCTAATTCAGAGGCATGGGTCTAGGACAGGAGTGGCTGTGTTAAACCTCTAATGGACCCCTTTCTATGCCC